ATGCTCAAAACGCATACAAATGACAACAGGAGAAAAAGTAAATTATAGTGGTTTGGCCGTAATCAATGGCTGTAACGATAAAAAAATCTGAAAGGTGATTATTAGCTTTCTGCGTCAATCTGTTTGGAAAGTTCTTAAAGCGTTAATATGAAATACATTTCACAAGTTTACATTGAATCTACCGTATGACTGTAGAAGTAGACACCTGACGTCAGCAAGTCGCTCAGAACAATCCATTTAATTGGTTGCTTAACACGGATATAGAAAAAAATTCCATTTACCTAGTCAAGCTGATACATTAATATCACGAAAACAAAGTAGAAAACACATAAAATTTCAAAAAGCCGATATTCAAGGTAATTTTTGAAAAGATTTAAAAAGTGGTTAGCAGCGAATCTTGGTATGCAGCGTAGTTAAACGGGCACAATTACCTTATTAAACTTCGTTTCAACTGGAATAATACATTAATGTTACGTTTTTGTGAACTAAGGTGATTCTGCAATGTGCTAGAGTGTGGCTTTCTTCTTTCCATCTTTTTCCTGCCACGGTTTCCACAATAACCCACTAAGTCAGAGTTGAAAACGCTTCAGTTTACAACTTGTTGGGGTCGTTGCTGCAAAAGAATTGGGTAGTTTTTGTAATTTTGTATTTTTTACGTCACTAAAACAATAACTTAGATAATTACTTTTTGGTTGATACTACTCAGTTTCAATCTTAACATTACTGTTAGCAGTTATTACAACAGTTTTTACTCCAAGTGCGTAATGATGATACAGAAGGCCACAGACCGGGGAAAAGATTGTTTAGAATCTTTTGAAACTGGCGAGGATCAGTGACTTCCCTTGCAAGAAGATCTGTATCTTTTTTATGACTCCTGGAGAAGCCAGCTAGTGACTAGTTGTAGGTCGCTTGCTTACTACTTGCTACTCTTCCTCAATTGCTCTTCCCGATATCCTTGCAGATTACGAAGTCTTTGTAGATTGCACTCATTACTTGTGTTATACAAAAGCGTATTACTTTGTCTCAAAATCAAAAATAAAGACGTAAAAGAAAAAAAGAAATTGAACGCATTTTACGTCAGTTTTTCCAGCCGTTGAGTTTTACTTTAACGAAAGCCAAAAGTAAATCTCTAATATACTGTTTTGTGTATTAGCATACAGTTTGTTTACCCGTGTATTTTAATTTACTCTTTATTTTAGTTAGAAGGCTCCTTTATTGAAATCAAGAAGTGATTTGCTGTATTTCTTGCGAGCGGCCGATTGATTTCTTTGTATCATTGGTTTTACTGCTTAGAGCGTACAACTATACCGGCCAACAGATTGCTTCTGGAATTCGGATTGGACTACTGTATCTTCTCTTCTTGATGTTCTAAAAATTCTCATTTTCTTGTGATCCTTACTGTAAATACAATAAGCCCTTGCTAGTTACAGTACCAAAGACTAAATGTTACCTTTATATAGGTCTCAGACTCCGTCTAGACTTTGACTTGTTACGCATACCTCCTAATTTTTATGCCAACAAAATGGTTCTACCCGATTACTCAGATGAAAAACATTGAATAACGTTGCTGATTCTTGTTGTGCGTGAAATTATTGTTTTGAGAACTGATGTTGAATTGCGACGATTTGATATTTGAATTTGTTTATTTATCAGAAACCTCCATGAAATAAAATGGAAAATTTTGAAAAGAGCAGTGCTGTTCCCTAGTGTAGATACAGTTGAGAAACTGACAAACAAGCTATTTTTACTTTTCTATACCGATAAAAAATACTATAGGGGGAACCAGTCATAAATTAAAACTCTAAAATAACAATGAGTGAACACAAATTAAACGCATATAAACAATTGGTTACCTTAAAAGCTTGAATTCTCAAAAGCTGCTCAAAATACGTGATTTATGAAACGATGCAAAACACTCAGACAAAAGGGTGCTTATAGTGATAACGCGACGGAAAGAACATTAGTCAATGCCGAAACGAAAAAGACGTGCAGTTTCGACGCCTCTTGTATGCACCTGGTCTCACCTTTCCACTGCGGTTTTTCCCATTAGAAGAAGAACAGTTTTCAAAATTTTGTTTTATAATTCTGCTTTTCTGCGCATGCTCGTGGCACCAGTTACAGGAGCTGAAATTCTTTTTTTTTTTTTAACTTTGAGGCTACGCTTTTTTTTACTGTTCCTGATTTTAATGTGCAACTACACTTCTATGCAAATGCCTCTTCTAAAGTAATAATGAAGGTCTTTTTTAAAGCAATTCTGCACTGGATTTCTAAACTTTCCGAACATTTGAAGCAGAAAACAGTGTATAGCTCAGAAACTCTTTTCATTTTTTGACGCTTGCTCACCACAAATTTTTGGATTTTGGAGTCAAAAATTCTAGAGGAGCAATGGCTGATTTTTATAAATTAACTTGTGGTTGTGCCACTTTTGAAAAATTAGAACCTAGTTTTTTTTTCTGTTGCCCCTGTTCCCCTGTGACTATATCCCCGTCTTCATTGTCGGTCAGTTCATAAAACTCAATTTCCGCTCCCGTGAAGCATCTTGGTCTAAAAATCCAAGCGATGGTTCATGAATACATCGGTTTTGCGCAATAACCAGTTTAAGCCCTTATTTTCTGGTGACTGGTTCTGTGTTATACATTACCCGACCCTGCAGAGCTAGAATGAGGAAGATCCAAACAGTGATGTGCGACTGCTCTGGCATCTCGCCAGTAGATTTTTCTCAATGAGACTCAAAAGTTAGTCAAAAATGTGTTTATACCTTGGCGGGAAGAAAGTGAAATTAGAAACCGGTCCTGTTGTATGTACGTATATAATGTATACAGTCGGTCCTAAGCGTTACCGTTTGCGTAACTGAAGGTTGCATGTGAATAGACGCTGCGGTGGTCAGCATTGTATTATTGAAATGTAAAAGCCGTTATTGCTAGATTAGTTTCATTCTTTTTTTCTTTTTTTTCATTTTAATGTGACGGTTACGTTACTTACGCAGAAACAAAAGTGCAGGACTTCTTGTTAATTTAATGGTATGTCATTAAAACCTTCGCGACTCCTCGCCTGGTTTTTATAATGTTACTCTTCCAAACTGCCATATTTTGTTAATTGTTCTTCTGTAAAACGGACCCGCTGGTTTTTCAGGTTATATTAATTCTTGTATATAAGAGACGAATCCCTAAAGATTGGGTAGCAATGTGTTTTTTTTTTTTAGTATCTCCGGATACAAAGTTTTCATTTTCAGCATTCGTACTGTTTACGCATATATCTGGTAATTTGATGGTAGTTTTGAGATTCAAGATTATGACAGTAAAATCATCACATAGTTTTATCCACATTCCTACGGTGCAGTTGGTATGGTAGAAACGATCAGTGAGTTTGTTTTAATTTAGTTACTTGCAATTTTACCGGAATGATCAATAGATGTATTTTGCACCTTCTTTTTTTCTTTTGGAGAGGATGGGGGAAGGGGGATGCGGGAAGAAAACCACTCATTTTTGAACTTCAAAGCTTTAGTACGCTTTTTTCAAATGTGGGGCTGGGAACAGGAAAAGCTTCTCTTTTCTTGTAGTTTATAATTTTTTCGCAGCTCGTAAGAGATCTTGAATAAGATAAAAGAAAACGACTTTTAAAACAAGTTAAGACGGTGTAATTAGTAACCGTTTATTTCGTGTTTGGAGAGTGAAAGTCTAATAAACGTTTTTTTTTTTTAAATTGGTCATATGTGTTAGGATTTGTAACACATGCTACAGCGATAATTCTATTTGACATACCATATCTAAGATCAGTAACTTGGTTTTCTTTAAAATGCAGCCAAATCCTTCCCTTGCAAGGTTAACTTGAAATTAGTACTGTATTGGATTAGGAAGTTTGGTATTTCGTTATTTTTTAGATCATTGGTGGACCAGGCAGGTCGAATCAAAAAACCAGTGTGTTTTAGCAGTCTCTTGATTCTACTCTGTGCTCGTTAGTTCTAAAATCGGTCACCACTTAGTAGTTTAATATTTGTTCTTTTAAGTATGCTTTAGAAATTCATTTGTTACATTTGTTCTCTTCCACAGTTAGTTACTTTTGTCGGTCGCTGTCGTACTCTTTCTTTCAGACCACCTGTAAACTAATCAATGGACTTTGGGTGGAAGCTAAAATAGGTTCAAATATTTGGGTAGTAATTGGAAGAGACATAATACGGTTTACTGTACTGCAATTTACTATGTAAAGGGGGTTTGCTGGAAGCCAGAAGGTTCTTGTAATGGAGGTGGTTAGTGGGAGAATCCTAAACGTTATCGACTTCCATTTCATACAGTTCTTTTTAAATATTTACGCGTTTTTCAGGGGCGTATTCTATTTTTTCTTCCCGACTTTCATTTTTATCTGTTATATTTATTTCTTCAGTACACTTTGCCTTCAACAAAATCAGATATGCTGTTGATAGTAGTTGAATTTGATGTAGATTTTATCAATTTTCAATCTACCGCTGAAGTGGCTGGCTGATTTA